CAGCGCGCGCACGCGCGCCGGGAAGCAGCTTGGAACTTGTAGTCCCCGCCAGCCTTGGCTTAGGTTTGGGGCGGGGATCCGGCTAGTACATCTTCGCTTTAGAACACCCTCCCGGCACGTTTGCTTTTCACACTCTGTAAATTAGCCTCTCCTCACCCCCACCCCGCAAGGGAAAATATTTTTAAATAGGCTCAAACTCAGTCAAACAACAGAATTACAGTTGGAAATAAATCAGGAAGAGCTGCGTTCAGATGCCAAGTGGGCTACTAACTTGCTCTTCAACCTCAAATAAGTAAGTCAGTTTTTCCTTTTTTTTTTTTTAAGATTTTTATTTACTTATTTGACAGAGACACAGCGAGAGAGGGAACACAAGCAGGGGGAATGGCAGAAGGAGAAGGAGGATCCCCACTGAGCAGGGAGCCCGATGCGGGGCTCCATCCCAGGACTCTGGGATCATGACCTGCGTTGAAGGCAGACGCTCAACGACTGAGCCACCCAGGCGCCCAAATAAGTCAGTTTTTCTCTCTCAACTTCTCCGGATTCAAAATGAAGTGTTCCAAGTGCACAATTTCTAACATTTACTGTAAAAACTGATTCGCAAAAGGGGGGGTGGGGAAGACAAGTTTGGAAACTACCCCTTCCTGGTTCACCCACGTAACAGCTCCGGACCACAATTTGTTCATAAGCAAAAGGTGGATGAGATGCATTTCTGAAGTATGCTTACTGATCTAAGAAAGTTTTTACTTCTCCTTCACTTTTGAAGGATAATTTTGCCAGATATAGAATTCTAGGTGAATGGGGGTTTTCTTTAAATATTTCTTTAAATATTTTACTCCACTCTTCTTGAATGTTCCTGAGGAGTAGTCAGCTATAATTCTTTGTCTTCTCTGTAAAATTTTTTCTTCCGGCTTCTTCCAAGATTTTCTCTGGTTTATGCAGTTTGAGGAAGATATACCTACATACAGATGAGGCATCTGGGTGGCAGGGAACGTTAAGCCTCAGCCTCTTGGTTTCTGCTGAGCTCACCATCTCAGGGTCCAGATAGCCAACCCTGAGTGGGACGTGGTTCTCAGAGAGGAGTCTGCTTGAGATTCTCCCTCTTCCTCTGCCCCTCCCCCAGCACACTTTCTTTCAAATAATCTTTTTTTTAATTTTTTATTGTAATGTTAATCACCATACATTACATCATTAGTTTTTGATGTAGTGTTCCATGTAGTGTTCCATGATAGTTTTGATGTAGTGTTCCATGAAACTCATTCCGTTTGTGTATAACACCCAGTGCTCCATGCAGAACATGCCCTCTTAACTACCCATCACCAGGCTAACCCATCCTCCCACCCCCCTCCCCTCTCTCAAATAATCTTAAAAAAAAAGATATACCTATGTATAGACATTTCATATTTATCCTATTTGATATTGATCCTACTCTGAGCTTCCAGGATCTGTCATTAATTTTGGAAGGTTCTCAGCCATCATTACCTCAAATATTTCTTCTCCCTTCATTCTTTTTTCTTCTTCTGGTGTTCCAGTTACATATATTACACCTTCTGAAATTGTCGCATTGTATTTGGATATTTTGTTCTGGGTTTGTTTTTCATTCTTTTTTCTCTAAGCATTTCAGTTAGGGAAGTTTCTATTGACCTATCTTCAAGCTCACTGATTCTTTCCGCAGTTGTGTCCAGTTGGCTGATGAGCCCTTTAAAGGTATTCTTCATTTGTTATAGTGTTTTTGATTTGCTAACATTTCCTGTTGACTAGTTCTAAGTGTTTTCTTATCTCTGCTTACATTACCCATGTGTTCTTGCATACTATTTATTTTTATCTTGAGACTCTTTAATATATTTATCAGTTATTTTAAATTTCCTGTCTGATAATTCCAACATCTGTGTCATAGAAATTTGATGCTTGCTGTGTCTCATCAACTGTGGTTTTTTTTCTTGCCTTTTAGCATGCTTGTAATTTTTTGCCGAAGGCCCGACAATATTGGCTGTATTAGATAATAGGAACTTAAGTAAATGAACCTCTAGAATGAGGATTTATGTTAATCTGGCTAGGAGTTGAGTTGTGTTTAATGTTTGCTGTAGCTGTAGGTCCAGAGGCTTCAAATTCCTCTAGTGTTTTTTGCCTCAACTGTTGACTTTGGTCTTCCCTAGATGTTACTCCTCAGAGAGTGTGTGTCTTGAAGCTCTTCCAGCTGTAATCCACTGTTACACTGGAGTTCTGTTGGTGTGGTGGTAAGGTGTGTGTTGGGGGGAAGCATTCTATAATCTGATGAAATCTCAGTATTTAGTGGGCCTGTGTCTTTGGGCTGTGACCATCACAAGTATTTCTTTTTTTTTTTAAGATTTTTATTTATTTATTTTAACAGACATAGAGAGAGAGCACAAGCAGGCAGAGCAGCAGACAGAGGGAGAGGGAGAAGCAGGCTCTCCGCCGAGCAGGGAGCCCGATGCGGGGCTCGATCCCAGGACCCTGGGATCATGACCTGAGCCAAAGGCAGCTGCTTAACCTACTGAGCCACCCAGGTGCCCCTGGTATTTTAATCTCATTCTGTGATATTATAATAAATAAATGAATAAATAAATATTTATACATACATATATTTGGTCTTTGTTCTTGACTTATGAAGCCCTCGTATTTCCCTAATGATAATATAGGAGCATCTTTTTTTTTTCCTTTAAGATTTTATTTTTAAGTAATCTCTATACCCAACATGGGGCTGAAACTCACAACCCCCAGATCAAGACTCACATCCTCCACTGACTAAGCTAGCCAGGTGCCCCTGGGAACATTTTTTGTCATAATATCTGGGTTTTGTCCCTGTTCCTGAATTAGCTCTGGAGAGATAAAGATGAAAAGAGCATCTTTTGTTATCATAATAAGCCCCTTTTAACTACACCAGTTAATGCAAATGAGGGGGTTTTTGGAAACCCCCTAAGGATGGGGGATTGGTTGCCACAGATGATTAGTTGGAAGTTTCAGCCCCAGCCCCCTAACCTCTGGGGAGGGGAAAGGGGCTGGAGGTTGATTTAATCACAAATGGCCAATGATTTTAATCAATCATGCCTATGTAATGAAGCCTCCATTAAAGAATACCCTAACCATGGGCACCTGGGTGGCTCGTCAGTCGGTTAAGCATCCACCTTCAGCTCAGGTCATGATTCCAGAGTCCTAGGTTCGAGTCCCGCATCGGGCTACTTGCTCAGCAGGGAGCCTGCTTCTCCCCCTCCCTCTGCTGCTCCCTGGCTTGTTCTCTCTCTCTCTCTCAAATAAATAAAATCTTTTTTAAAAAATGCCCTAACCAAAGGGGTTGGGAGAGCTTCTGGGAGGATGAGCACGTCAGTGATAGTGCAGGGAGAGTGGTGCAGAGGGCATGGAACTCTATGCCCCTTAATCTGTATCTTGCCCTATGCATCTCTTCTATCTAGTTGTTCCTAAATTGTATTCTTTTATAATTAACCAGTAATCTAGAAAGCCATTATAGCAAATTATCAAACTCAAGGAGAAGCTTGTGGGAACCCTTATAGCCTGTGAGCTAGAAGTACCAGAGACTTACACTTGTCACTGGCATCTGAAGTAGGGGGCAGTCTTGTGGCGCTGAGCCCTTAATGTGTGGGATCAGATGCTAACTCCAGATAGTGTCAGAACAGAGTTGAATTTGTAAGACACCCAGCTGGTGTCAAAGAATTGGTTGGTGTGGGAAAACCCCATATACATTTAGTGCCAATGTGTGTGAGTTGGGGCATCTGGGTGGTGTGGTCAGTTAAGCGTCCCACTGTTGGTTTCAGCTCAGAAACGTCCTTCCCTGGGTAGGATTAGACTCTGGTACAGTCTTTTCCCCTGAGGAACGCTCAGAATTTATTCTACAAAGATTAGTCTTCCCCTTCCCCTGCCAGAGCCACCAGGGAATCTTTCTCAGCAATTAGCTGTGAAAATCAGGTGGGGTTCCTGGAGGTAAAACCATAAAGTTGTGTGGTTTCCCTTGGGCTGTGGCGCCCAGGAGTTTCTTATTCCAGTGCTAGTCCACGCTCAGCCTCCCACATTCCATCAGTGTTCCTACCAGCTATGGCTCCAGTGGCTTCTGCTCCAGGTGACTCTCCAGATTTCAAGGCAGCAGTTTGCCCTGCACTCAGTTCTCTGATGCGTCCAAGGAGTCATTGATTTTCTTTGTCCAGCTTTCTCTTGATGTAAGGACAGGAGTGACAACTTCAAAACTCCTTGTGTGCCTGAGCTGAAACCAGAAGTCCTTTCTGAAGTGGGGTGTTTATTTCCCCCTCTGAAGTATTTTAAAAACTGTGCTAGGCTGCTGAAGAGTTTCAGGCAGAAGTTTTGATCCTAAAGTCCATAGAAGGCACTTCCTATGGATGAAACGTCCCTTCCCACATTAGAAACATGAGTGTCCTTATACAACACAGGCCACAGTGCTTGGGCACTCCCAGTGTGCCTGACCCAGGTGGAACCCCTCTTGCTACTTAGGGCAAAGTGAGTCAGGCAGCCCAGGCTTTAAATCCTTATTCTACCACTGACAGGCCGTGTGACCCCCTGCCAGGCTAACCTCTCTCAACCTGTTTATCTGCCAGATAAATACCCGAGTAACTACCGTGCAGGCCTGCTGGCAGAGCTAAATGAATATGTGAAAAGGTCACACAGCCTGGCACAAATGGCAGCCATAAGGCTCCTCAACCTCTGAGCCTCAGTTTCTTCTAGCCTGAAACGAGGTTGATAGGATTGTTAAAAGGTCCTGCACTACTCTGGTGTGAAACAATTCATTTGATCAACACTGCAGGAATAACTGGGGATAAGGGCAGAAGTGGAACCCACATTTACCCTATTAAGAGCCTAGTGACCTTCTGTCCAGAGGCCTTAACCACACAGTTAACATAGGACCTGGGGTATCTTCTGATATTCAGATGATGATCAAGAAAGGGGCGGGGCCAGAGATGTTATCTGGTAATTCTCTTTCAACACACGTGCACATACACACACATACACCCAACCACTAACATGTGTTAGTTTATTTTTTTAAAAAAAGGTTCCAATACAAGGCCCCAGAGTAGTGCATGCAAACAATGACGCTCAAGCTGTCATTGTCAGATGACCAGTACAATCTGCTTCAATAGTCTGTGACCTGGTAAAGAGACCAGCTTCTCTCTTTGAGTACCAAGGCCTAATTATGCCAGTTTGTGTCCAACCTACCACCTGGTACATGATGACTCAGAAGTACACTTTAGTATCCAAACAGCAAAGACACACTGAGCTGCAAGTACAATGAGTTAAGTGTCCTTAGTGTATTAGACATGGAAAAATACAAACAAGGCGTAAAAAAGAAAAGCCAACTTCATTTGACGCCTGAATTCCCAAAGTCTCTTCCATACATGATTTAGGCCTAGGGATATTTGCCAACGCTGCATCAGGAACTTGCTCATTTTCTCATGAGATGGAGCTGTTTGCCTTGAAGGACTGCAGGAAGAGTGAAATATTCACATGAGGTAAGCACTTGAAGCTGTGGCTGCAATTCATGGGCCATCTTTATCTACCCTGACGATAACCAATCTCTGTAAATCCAACTTTGTGCCTGTGTGAATTCTGGGAAACGTTAGGGATAGAGAATTCTAATTCCGGTCAGGCCTATGATTATAGGAGAATATAGCTATGGAAGAATTAAATGGAAGAATTCATGGAAGAATACACCCATGGAAGAATTAATCACATCAGAAGGTTTTAGTTTGGTTTAGTATATTCAGTGTTTTTTGTTTTTTAAGTTTAAAAATAATGTTTCTTATACGTGTGGTTCTTAATGCTCTTAGTTACTTACAGATTGCTACCTGGATTGACTTCAGGAAAAGGGTATGTTCAGTAAACTAGTCTGAATTGAAATCACTAGCTAATGAAGAGATAAATTCTCATAAGAAAAGTAACTATGATGGAAAGCAGCATTTAGCTTCTGGAACTACCTGCTTTTTGGTGCATGCAGAGTGTCGTCCTCTTCGATCAGAGAGCAATGACAGACTAGCAGTAGGAAGCATGCCAGTCAGCCATGAAACCCTCCACAACGACAGCAGGAAGGGCATGAGAAGGAAGAAAGATGCCTGTGCCAGGCAATACTTTAGATACCTGGTTGTCAACTTCCCAACCACAATAATCAACAAGGCTGGGAACTTGGTTGACATCAGTAATCCACTCATATTCCTTTGTGAACAGAACCCCAACGCAAAGCGTCCTCCACACACCCTCCACCCATATCCCATTCCCACACCCCTATGCAAGATCTTTCCATTCAGCCCAAAGATCCAACAGATGCCAAAGAAATGTGAATAGTGTCAACAAAAATACAGACTACCTTTACACCACAGTTCTTCAAACATTCTCAAGACCAACAGTGGTCTTCCCAGAAGGTAACAAAATGAATCTCAGCTCTCACACCAGTAATCAGTGAAAGGATGACCCATAGTTAGTTAAGGGGTATAAAGTGACTAGTGGTCAGTTATTGTTCTTTAATCAGAAACACATAATTGCAGGAACTCTACCTAGAGCTGAGCACACTTGAGTATCATGATGTCAGACATCAGTTAAGGATTATGTAAACCAAAGCACCAGAGCTAAATTAACAATTTCCCTTTTTGCCCTTAATTGATGAAGAGTTCAAGTACTATGGTGCTACTAGAATGATCCTGGGTTGTGCCTCTTCAAACACTTCCATTTCTTAATACTAAACATTGGTAGGAAAATACCCCACTGGTGCCCCAGGTCACGACAGGATGAACCAAAAGGGAAGAAGGCTGATCAACTAGCCCTGAAAATCATTTTAATTTATCTTCTGACTCAGGGAAGCTTCCACTCTCCTGGCAATGTTCCACAAAAGCTTCCTGATTACCAATCCTATATTATAGACTGGGCCCTCTGAAAAAGCCCAAGTCAGAGTAATTTCACCAAAGTTCTAGAGGGAGGTTTCGCTGGGGACAGACAATTGTTCCGTCAGTCGTTCAGAGCAACATTTGGGTAGACAACTCTGCTCCCAAATACTACTGCCTCCATCAACCAAAAAGTTCACCACTCCTATTTCCTAAACAGACCATGGTCAGACCCAGTGATCCCCCCGCACTGAAGTTTAGCCTCCTGAAAGACAAACAATGACTTAAACTGACAGGGAAATGCCCTGGTAAAACATCACCCCCCACCACCCCCTCTTAAAAAGAGGTGCTGGGCTCTCCTGGGTCTGAACTACTGCCTTCATAGCAGTAGCTCCCCCTTCTGCTGCACAGGTGGGATGTACCCAGAAGGTTAGAGGAAGCCCCAGGTGAAAGAACCCACAGCCTAGGGGGACAGACTTCTGTCAGACCAGAGTAAGGTTTAAAGGAATCCAACGAGTCTGTCTTGGCCAAAGAAAGTGCCCTATAATACTGCATCAAGACCAAAGACTAGGCAGGAGCAAGTGGACCCACGAGGGCTGCCCAAGAGAACTGCATTTAGTTCTACTCAGTAATGAAAATTTAAAATCCCTTCTAAAGGGAAAACCCGATTCAAAAAAACAAAAACAAAAAAATTCTTTTAAAAGCCCCAGGAAATACAGCAAATGAATGCTGGTTCTTCCTGTTCTGGTTTCCACTTTATTATTCAACTGTAGTGGAAAAACCTCCAAGTGCACAGCACGAAACAGCAGATTCCCTGCCCTGACCTGTGTGCCTCGTAGCTGTCACCCTTCCTCCTGCCCCACCAGGCCCACCAGCCCTAGTCCTGCTCCACAGGCTCCTGCCAGGCCCTGGGCCCAAAGATGCCCTGCCCACAGTCAGGGGGGTCATTCGGTGCCCCCCTTCTGCTTGGCCAGGGTGCGCTTCAGCTCCCTCAGGTTCTCTGTCAGCACTTCCACCTCATCCAGGCGGCCACACTGCTTGGCATCAAAAATGTACGCCTTGATGTTATCAATCTGCTGGAGGAGGAGCTCCTCCTCTATGGGCTCCTCGCCCTCTGGCCCACTGTCACTGTCCATCTCAAAGGGGTTGGTACAGGGGGCTTCCTCAAAGGGGTTGCCAGAAACAGGAGGGCTTGAGGGCCTCTGGTGGGGATGCTCATCTTCATCATTGAAGGGGTTGGGCGCTGGACTATCTGGGTTACTGAAGGGATTCCCTGCAACAGCCTCCTCTTCTTCCTCAAAAGGATTGTATTCTTTGAGAATGGAGACTGAAGGGCCAAAGGAACACTCTGCAGCAGGAGGGCTGATAGTGCCCTCTGCTGTGGGGCTGGAGGGGTCTTCCTCATCGAAGGGGTTTAGGGAGGCCAGCTCATTTTGCTGTGATATCATGCTCTGGGGGAAGAATTCCTGGCCGAGGGCTGGGGGTCCAGACCACACTCTGGCTGGCTCGAGAGCTGAGCTGGGGTTAGGGGTCTCCGCAGCTGCACTGCTCTGAACTGAGGAAGAGCCTAGATCCAAAGCATAAGCAAGGTGGGTACGAGGCTCCCTGCCAGGCTCCAGCTGAAAAGGCCTGATTTCTCGGAAGTCCAGGGACCGAGTCCGTGTATGTAGGGACGCAGCCCGGAACTGCTCCCTCTCTCGTTCCCACTCCCGTTCACAAAGCCTCTGCAGCTGTTCTCGCTGCAGGTCCTCCTCCTCGGCCTGCCTCCGGGACAGCTCAATGGCCTTCTCCGTCTGCTGCTGGTCATACTCATCCTGCAACTGCCGCAGGTTCTCCTGCAGTGTGCACACTTCATCTGTCCGCCCGGCAGCCTTGGCCTGCCTAATAAATGATGTGATGTTGTGGATCTGCTGGAGGAGGGGGTCCGAGTCTTCACTCTGCCCCAGACTTCCTGACAGCGGGAGCCAGCCCTCAGCCTTTCTCAGGGGGGCAGGTCCCCCTCGAAGGGACACCACCTCCCCATTGGCCGCACGAGACGCCAGGTCACTCCGCCTTTCCTCAAACCGTTGCTGGGATTCCAGGACAACCTGGGGAGACACCAAAGCCCAAGAGAAGAAATACAGTCACCAGGCCAACAGCAGCCACATCATCAGCCACTCCTACGGTCCCGCTGTCCCTGTGCTGATGAGACTCCAAATACCCACCTCAGTACTAAGGTATCCAACTGCTAAGTCAAATCACGCTTTTGGTTTTAGGGGAAAGAAGGGACGGAGCCTGATTTTCAAAACTAAATTAATGACAATAAGTTAAGGGATAAGATTTTCTCAATTTTAGAGTCACTGGCTGTAGGCTTGTCTTAAACCTCTGAGGTCTAGCATTACTCATCCACACTAGACTCTCACACGATATTAAACGCACACATCATTTTGATTAGTGTTGCATATTCCAAAACATTCTACAAAGAGCTCCCTGGTGTCTGGGTCCTCTGCAACCTGTGCTACAGGGACAACTGGCAGCCTCCACGGTATTCTGGACGAGAGAAAATCAGCAGGATCTCTGAAAGGCAAATAGGTCTGACCTGGGAAGAAAAATAACTATTCTGAATCTACAGAGGAGAGGCCAGAAAAGAACAGAAGAGAGATGCAAACCGGACAGCAGTGAGTTCTGATTTAACATGATCTCAAAGAGGGCCGCTTGGGAGCCTGGGGCAGCCTCTAGGCTCAAGGAGGCCACCAACATCCCTGCTTTTCACTTGCCTGTCTCTCCAGGATCTTCTTTCTCTCCATTTCCTGTTTCCTTTTCTTTTTCAGTTCCTCAAACTGTTCTCTGGTTGGCAGTGACATCAAACCCAGCAACTTTTCCTGTAGGAAGTCATGGACAATTTTGTATTTAAATCCTTTTAGGAAGAAAATGAGCCTAATGAAGTCTGTTTGTAAGACTCCATCCAAGGCCCACACCCCTGCTACCCCTTCCCTGCTCTAGGTTTCTCCACAGCACTTTTCACCATCTTAGAAATTCTATATTGTAGTTATTTTTTTGTCTATCTCCTTCCAGAAAAAAAGCTTTATGAGAACAGGAATGTCTTTTTGTTCATGTCAGGACACGCAGCACCTAGCACACTGCCTAGTACACAGTAGGCATTCACCAAATGACTGCTGAATACAACACTAGTCAAAAGGAGAAGGGGCCTAATTCTCTGCAATACGGTGCTGGAAAACTAACCAAACAGGGCTCGCTCTGTCATTAAGCCCAGATGTGGTTCACTGTGGCTCTCCCAAGGGCTGTTCTAGGTAGAAGCAACTCAACTCTAACCACCCAGGGTTAGTCTGCCTATGAACAATCAGCTGTTTCCTCCCAAGCAATGGCCCAGGAAGAGACCCTCAGGAGCTTATCCTGAGGAAGAAATGGCATGTATCAGTATGTCTGTCAGGCTGTACTCACACTAGCGAAAAGCAGGAATCTATCAGATCCTCAATGAAAGGGGAATAATTAAACAAAGGATGGTGCATAGAAAGTCGTATTCTGCAGCCATTCAAATGGTAACTATTTAAATGAAGACTATGTAGGAAGTGCTTATGATATAAAATTCAGTGTTAAAAAGAGAAGACAAAAATTTATACCTATGCACTAATCATAACTACTTTATATAACAAATGCAAATGAAAAAAAAGGAGGAAAATATACCAGAATGATGTGTAATGGTACTGGGGAGAGAGGATTAAGAAGTTTTTACTTTTCTCTGTAATTCAAATTTTTCTCTAAATGTGGCACAATTCTATTTACAATTTTAAAAAATAATAAATGTACAAATAGAGAACAAACCATTGGCACGGTCTGCCTTCTGAGAGGCAGAAAATCAGGGGAGGAAAATGAGACGTTTCTGACACCACAGGTTGGCTTTACCTGCACAAAAAGCGTAGCTGAGTATCTGACCATCCTCTGCAGCCGCAAAGTGTTTGGATGTGGTGGAGGGTCCTGGTTCAAGCCTAAGGTTAAGATCTTCTTACTGAATTGGAACAAACACATCAATGTAACAGGTGCTGCCAGCCCCAGAAACAAGGGTTAAATCTCTGAGTTGCCGGGCTTTTGTGCCAGGACCATCTGTGGAGGAAGCAGGTTAAAGACTCCACGGAATATCCTTGAAGGCAAAGCCCATTCCTTACCCTCTGGTTGTACCCAAAGCCCCGACACAGCACAGGGTGTCTAAGCAACACTCAGCCATTGAGGAACTGACCACACATGCAGGGCCAACTTCATGGGTGAGTGACCTGTGCCTGGTTTAATATTCTGATGTCACTGTCTTAAATTTTTTTTTTTTTTTTAATGGGAGCAGGGCCTGGGGGGCCAGTGAGGGACTCCCCAGGCCCCTGGAGTGGGCTGAGGTGAAGAAGGCAGGAAGCAACTGGCTTTGCCAGGCCGGTACACAAGCTGAAACTGGGCCAGGGGGTTTGTGGACAGTGCTGGGGGCAACACTGGGCAGCAGGAGGCCACAGCTACTCCAAGACCCACATCTTAAAATTCTTAGTAATTCTTGCTTTTTCATTTTACGCTAGGTCCCATAAATGACATAGTCAGTCCTGCACAGACGGATGGACAAAGCCTCCTCATCTCAGTTCTCCCTCTGAATCACTATGCTTTCTATACCTCAAAGGGCTGATTTAACCCCAACAGCCGGTCCATGGTTAAAAAGCCGCTGTTGACTTGAAGAAAGAATTTGGGTTTCTATCCTGGCTCCACCGCTTTGCTAGCTGTGATACATCCTCTCACCTACAAAGTAAGCGTATTAATCCCTACCACCCGGCTAACTTGGTTGAATAAATGAGATGTGGATACAACCAATGGCTGGTACAAAGATGGTGTCAATAATCAGTTCCTATTTCTTTAATAATGATGAACATTAGAAATCTTAACCAAGTTACTGAGATGTGGTGAGTGCCAGAGCTGGCACCCACCTCAGCCTGCTCTTCACACATACTCTCTGTCACCAGGACTCTGGGTAAGCTCGGGCCTGACAGCCACCCTCAAGCCCCACTGAAACCGCATCTCCTCCACTCAAGGCGGCAAGTCAGACATCACCTAACAGGCCTTACCTTAAAGCATCTATGAGCTCGTACACTTTCTGCACTTCCACTCGAAGGTCACTGGCATGTTCCAGGCTGTAGGTTGTCTCCCCAGCACTAAGGAAAAATCACGAAATGTTTGATTCAAGTTTCACCATGCTGACTGGAGAGTGGTGTAGAAAAGGGTTCTAAAGGTTTAGGGTCTTACAAAGGGAGACACAGCTAATTCTTTCCAAGTGGTATTATTTCACACTCTTGTATATAATGCATTCCTTTAAGTGCTGCTAATCAAATGGAAGCTGTTTTTAATTAGCAGACGCCACAGGAGCAGATTTGTGCCTAGGCCTTTAAGGACTAGCCGTTACGCTTATCACCAAGATAAATGCAAATGCATCTACTTCAATCTACTTTCCCTAAACACTTTCACTATACCTAGTAAGACATATGAAGTGGTTTGCTAAATAAGCGGTTACCCTACATCCCAGGAGAAAGCAGCTGGCTTTTCTCACTCAAACACTACCCCCAGGGAGAACAGGAACAATGAGAAAGCTGACCAAGGAAACCCCAACACCTAGCAATACCCAGCGCAGCATTATATCGATTGCCAATGTTCCTGGGCCTCATGAACAATTGCTCCCTACATGAGAAAAGCACTTTGACACCAAATTAAGCAGGGAGGAGACAGGGGATAACTCCCCAGGGTGGAGTAGGGGGCTGCAGGGAAGGCCAGAGGTGGCTTCATTCCACTTAACTCAGAGGAACAACAGCAGTTATTATGTGATCTTAGAACTGTTCATTTACAAGTGTGTCACCCCGTCAGGCCTGAAATGCAAGGGCAATGACGATGGCTTATCATTTTTATCCTCAGTAACTAGCACATGGCCAAGCTTCGTCAGTGCTCACTGAAAAGAAAAACACTTCAGAAGATCTTGCAGCTGTTCATGCGGCCTCAGCAATGGCCACTCAGCTCCCTTCCTGAGGCAGCAGCAATTTAAATTAAATAAGCAGAAAGGACTGCTGTGCTGACCTGGTTTACCGTCTACAAGACAGCCCTAGCTGGAAAAATCTTGGTGTGTGCTATAATTGGAGGATCCTATCGAATGTTGGCTTCATCATCTCAAACCACACAGTTTGCAAAAAGAACATCAGACCAGAATTAGGAATGCTTGCACTTTGTCTTGATATCTCCAAGTCACATGGAAAATAACAAGGTTGGCTCAAATCTGAAAGCACCCCCCCCAGCCCCCACCCCCAGTCTGTCACAACCAAACACACCCCCACAGAGCACCTGCCACGTCTGGAGTTACCTTGCCCATGATTTGTTCACTGGGTTATGGCTGTGCTCCCACGGTAATGAAGCTCCAGGGCAGCAGACACAGTCTGCACTGTTCATTGCTACATCCCCAGTACCTCAAACAGTACCGGCACATAACTAGTGTTCAGTAAATACCCACAGAATGAATGAGGGCGGACAGTGTGCTTAAAACCCTGTAGAACAAGTCTTTGGAGAGCGAGTAGGAGTTCGACATCTGGGAATGTGCTCAGCGACGGTAGTTTCCCAGCTGGATGGGGAGGCCCAGTGACCCACAGCTGTGTCTGAGGCACAAAGCAAGAAAAACAACAGACTCAGGGGAAGGAGCCCCCTGGGTAACGATGTCATGAGGGAAAGTTGAGTGCCAGCTCAGACTGCCAGGAACACAGTTCTTCTTGCTGACATCCTGGAAGAAGAGAGTCCTGCTCTAATTTCAGACCAATGGGCACAGGTAGGAGGACGGGTGTTGATTCCAGTAAGTTCCAGGTAGGAAAAGAACATGAGGCAGGTGCTCCAAGCCAAGGATTCTCCATTTAGGGGAGGTAGATATCAGAATCACTTGAGCTGCTTCTCCCAGCCTACTCACAGGGAGGCTATATGCTCCATTGATTGAAATTATTGCTCAGTGAACTGCAGGTAGAAAAGAAAATGTGTCCTTTCCTCCTGTTTTTCAGAACCAGTGCTCTTGGAATGAAAAGAGGAAGAATGGGGTATAGAAAGTGCAAATATAAGGGAAGAGAGGCCCTAGCACTGTAGTGGCTGAGACGGCTGGAGAAACAGGGTGTCCTCCCCTTATACTGTCTGCTGCCAGGGGCTGCAGACACCCAGTTGGTAGGACTGGAGGAAATGGGGGTGGTCTACAATGGTTTCCCTACCTCTTTTCTGTTCCCTTCCCACCTCTTTCCCCACCCCATGGGTTGGCATACACTGGGGGAAGGAACAGGAACTGGAAGAAGAGCCCCAGAGCAAGAGTAGAGGCAGGGAGACATGCAAGAGAAGGGGTGTTTTTGCCACAGACCAACCGGGTTTAGCCATTCATATTTTGTAAGTCAGACATTTACAGACTCCTAAGTTAGGAAACTCCTTAAGGACCATGTAAATGAAAAAGTTCATTTTCTTTTCATGTGAGATTCACATGATAGACTTAGAATGTGGGCACTGCCATCATGAAGGAAAAGCCAAGCTTTGTGTTTTTTGTTTGCTTTTAAGTAGGCTCCATGCCCAACATGGGGCTTGAACTCATGACCCTGAGATTAAGAGTCACATGGTCTACTGACTGAGCCAGCCAGGTACCCCAAACTTTGTTTTGTGGAGACAACATAACACATTGCCACAGTAAAGGGGCAAATAAAAATACAGGTTTGTTCTAAACAAGGCACATTTAATTCCACATGCATCACTACAAAGGTGGCAGGTGGGCAATACAGGCTTAAGACAAAGGCAGATAATCCTCACATAGAGAGCACATAACTGTTTTTCTGCCGGTTGGGAAAAGACTTGCTGCAATCTGATTCTAGTGGTAGCACTTCAAATTCTAGCTCACGTATCACTAACCTGCAGAAGAAGCAATGCTCTTAAGAGTGTCAGCATATTTTTTCTGCAAAGGACCAGATAATAATATTTTTAGCTTTGCAGGCCAGATAGTCTCTGTCACAACTATTCAACTCTGCTGCTGTAGTTGTAGTTTGCAGTTAAAATCAAACAAATGAGCATGGCTATGCACCAATAAAATTTTATTCATAAAAAATGGCAATAACAAGCATTGGCAAGGATATGGAGAAACTGAAATGCACATGCACTGCTGGCGGAAATATAAAGTGGTGCAGTCATTTTGGAAAACAGTCTGGCAGTGCCTCAAAAAGTTTAAAATCTAGAGTTACCATATGACCCAGTGACTCCACACCTAGGTATAAACCCCAGAGAAATAAAATTGTATGTCCACAAAAAAACTTATACAGGAATATTTGCTGAAGCATTATTCATAATAGCCAGAAGTGGAAAAACCCAAATGTTCATCAATGGACTAATGGGTACACAAAATGTGGTCTATCCATACAATGCATCTGCACAAGTGGAATGGAACGCTAACACGTGCCGCCACAAGGGTGAATCTTGAAAACGCTACACTATGTGAAAGAAGCCAGACACAAAGGATCATGTATTTATACGAAATGTCCCAAAGAGGCAAATCCACAGACAGAAAGCAGACCAGCCGTTGCCAGGGAGAGGGAAAATAAGCAATGACTGGTAATGGGGGTGGGGTTTCTCTGGATGATAAAAATGGTTTGGAATTAAGACAGCAATGACGGTTGTATGACTCTGTGAAGAACCACTGACCTGTACACATTAAAACGGTATGTAAATTATTATTCATTTTTTTGGTGTGTAAATTATATTTTAGTTAAAAAAAAAAAACAGATGGCAGGTTAGATTTGGCCCATGGGCTGAAGTGTGCCAAGCCCTGTTGTAAAGGAAATGCCTGTTCTAAGCCTGAAGCAGCAGGCCCCCCCACCTCCCACCCCAGGGCAGACACCTGAGGCACACTGTCCTTGCTCACCTCCAGATGCCACACTCGGCAGCGGTGCCTACTGTCTGAGCCCCTTCCCCAACCTGCTCCATCAGAACTGGGGCCCCTTGAACATGGCTACCAGAGGACTGTAACACGTGCCACACAGAAATACAGACGTGACAAAGATTCTCCACAGTTGGTCACAGAAGAAAAGCACAGCCAGAATTAAGATTTTCATTTTCAGTTACTGAGGAGCTGCGCTAAAGTGCCCGCAAACAATCGTCACTGAATTAGAAAAACTGAGGAATAGCTTACTTTAATGATGCTGCCATCCTGATGTATTCAGGAGCTTTTTGGTCAACTTTCTCCATGCAAAGTCGTAATTTCTAAGAACAAAACAAAAGAGGTGAGTGGTGCTCTCAAGGTACAAAACAGTTATGCTGCATCAATAGAGATGTATTTAAAACGTACAATTTCCGGGGCACCTGGCTGGCTCAGTCGATAGAGCATGCGACTCAATCTCCGGGTTGTGACTTCAAGCCCCACATTGGGTGTGGAGCCTACTTAAAAAAAAATTTTTTTTAAATGTACAGTTGGAAATATGCAGAGTGTTTTTTTGTTTGTTTTTATTGTTATCAATTTCCTGATTTACAAACCTCCTTTACAAGCAGTAAATCTTGCAGGAAGGAAAAAAAGTGAGGGCAGAACTTTTGACAGGATGTTTTTGCAGGGAGCAAGGCCTTCCAGGACATAAGCCAGTGAGTTTTACCAAGGCAGAGGAAAGGAATTGGTGGCTACATTCTTTCTCTGCCAGGTGATGAAAGATACTAGCAAATGGCATTGCCAGGGCTTACTTCAAAAATGAAGGAAGGAAAAAGCATGGTGGCTATTTACAAAAATGAGTTATCAGGTCATGAACTCCATACACAGGATGGGTAATGGCTACATCTGCAGCTCAGGGCAGGGTTTCATTAACACCATTTCTAGTAGTCTAAGTACTTTTGTGGTGATTCCAGAAATGCAGCCATTATGACCCACAGACCTGCTAACAGTGACCACTCAGTGATCAGCAAACAGACAGACGGTCCCAGACTTACAATGGTTAGAATTCATGATTTTTCAACTTTACAATGATGCGAAAGTGATACTCATTCAGTAGGAACAGAACCTGGAGCTTTGAATGTGGATCTTTGCCCGGACTGGCGACATGCAGTAGGACACCCTCCCGTGACGCTGGGCAGTGGCAGCCGCCGCAGCTCCAGGACAGCCGCGTGATCACAGGGTCAGCCACTGATACCCTTACAACCATCCTGTACTCACTCAACCTTCTGTTTTTCACTTTCAGCACAGTATCCAGTAAGTTACACGATCCATTCAGCGCTTTATTATCAAACAGATTTGTGTTAGAGGCTTCTGCCCAACTGCAAGCTAACGTCAGTGTTCCCAGCACGGTTAGTGTAGGCCAGGCTGGCACACTATGTTTGGTATGTTTGGTGTATTAAAGGCAATTTCAACTTCTGATATTTTCAACTCAGGATGGCTTTATCAGGATGTGGCCCCACTGTAAGTGGAGGAAGGCCCAGGCGCTCCTCTGCTCAGGGTTCTACACGAGCTGCTACCTTGGCCAGGCTGATCTCCCCCTTCCCATCTCCCATCACCTGCCTATGAAACCTTCAGCTAGCTAATCCTTCTCAGCCTGCAAGTCCCCCAGCCATTGGGAGTGAGGCAGACTCACTCCCCGTCTGACTCTGAATCCCGTTTTTGCACGACCCTATGTTCCTCTCAAAGTATGCATCTACTGAATGTGTTTTGGGATTGCTGGTGGTAATGACGACTGAGGCATTTGAATGGACTTAAAAGGGAAGCTCTATGCCCATGGGCAGTCACTCAAACCTGTAAAGCCTGAAGCTCCCAAGTGAATTTCCCAGGACTCTTCTGGCCCACTGTTCATACCTGATCCAGCTCCACTACCCCTCATCCACAAATCCTGTCTACACAGAATGGCAACCATCCTTCCTCCTCTTGCCCCTGGGCCACCAAAGTCTCCAACCTCCTGCTTTCAAGTGGGCAAGGAGGGGTGAGGGAACAAGGTTGTTGCAACACACTCAGGATGACTCTGCGAATCACCCAGGGCCCTAGCTAGGAAACCATACCAGGGCCCTTTAGCAGAAAGTAAAAATGATTCAAAAGAACAACTTCCCAAAGCATTCTCCAAAATATGCAGGCATGCATATTTTGTTACACAACATGTAACAGCCAAATCTGCATCTCAAGTCAGACCCAGGACCACACACGGTGAGTCACCTCATAGAGCTTTACAATGTCGGGGGTGTGCTCCTTCTCATCAATCTGCTGCTCTCTCTTGAGCAACGTGTCCTTGCAGTGTGTACAGCAGCGGATCCGGTCGTCATCCTTTTCATCCAGGACGGAGCTTACACTGCTCACGCTGCTGATACTGCCCCGGCGGGAGCCATGGACACTGTTGGGTGACTGGCTGGGACTGGTGTGGGTACTCAGGGAATCTTTGCTGGCACTGGTGAGCTTGTCTGTAAAGCACAACACAGGACATGCGGCAATGAGCCCACAGCATCCCATCACCCCACCGCTCACAACAGAGGGGAGGCCACAGGTGCTGATGCAGGCTCTGTCTATGGGCAAGAAGCACCACACCTTTGCCTTCCTGGGGTCAGGCTCTGTGGTGGGAGGGATTCCCACTGCCAGCCAGGAAAAAGCCAGACAGCTTAGGAAGGTCTCTCTTTGAGGCTCTGAAGCCCATTCCTAGCCTGACCCAACACAATCTACAATCTCCCCAGACTGTCCTGACAGACTTCCCCACTCCCAAATATCTGACTCCTACCCCTTCCAAAGCTCAGCTCAAATGGTACATCCTTCTGGAAGCCCTACTCTATTCCTTGAGGCAAAAACAATATGCCCTTCCTATCAGGTCCTACCATGTCATCCCTCTTGGAGCACTTTCCACTTTTCTCCCTGTATGACAGTTCTATGTATACCCAGAGCTGCTCTGTGAATCTGGGAGGGTAGGAACTGTCTTATTCATACTTGTACCCCAATATATGCAACAGGGCTACCCCATAGCAGCTGCCCAGTAAATGTTAATTAGCACAAGATAAGAAAGGTGAATAGTGTCTCAAAAGCATAGCTTATGAAGTCTCAGGTGAGACAGAAAGTCAGTTTCGGGGAGAAGGGGAAGCTATCAAGGTAATGTGTGCCTGCTGGATGTCAGAACGGGACAGAGGAAGCATCTGCTTCTGCCCCACACTGTCCAGATGCTCCATAGCCAACAGCACATGCAGAGTCAGCAGAACTCCCCAGGGTTGCAAAACCACCTCAAATGTCCCAGAATTGGCCCAAAGCCCAAGAGATCAACTTTAGCAACTTTTAACCAGTTGAGACTCAAAGTTCTACACCCTCTGGTTCCACCTAACCTTGCAGCCACCATCCCCATAACTCTCAAACATGTCCTCTATACTCCCCCAACTATTCTATTTGCTCGATGACTAATCTTCCCCCAGGGCCCTTCCACGGCTTTGCTCCTGCTCTGCACTCTACCCAGGATCCCTCCTGCCCTACCTCTTTGGAATCCTTGCTGTCTTTTAAGGCTCTTCTCAAACGTCACCTCCCAAACCTGAGCATCCATGCTCTTGATCCCCCCAGCACTCAGTGTCTCTCATATTATGATGTTACAGTCTGTTCTATATGACAATAAACTGTGACTTTTCTCTCAAAAGAAAGGACTAGCCTGCTGCTCATTTTTAAAGACCATTTCTTATAGTCTCCTCTCAAAGCCTCAGCTGCCGTTTCCAAGCAGAGCTGACAATGATTTGGTCAGCTCTCCCGGGTGTCTGATGCAACTTCTCTCATGATACTTATCTCTTTATAAAGCAATTATTTGTAAATCTGTGTCCTCTGCTAGAGGCTAGACCCTTTGTGGAATGGACAATGCCTTATAAACCATAGGTGGGCAAACATGACCTGTAAACCAAGTCCAGCCTGCTTTTGTATGGCCCTTGAGCTAAATATGGTTTTAAAAAGGTTTTTTAAAAAAGGTTTTAAACAACGTTTGTTGTTTAAAAAAAGAAGAGGGGCACCTGGGTGGCTCACTCATTAAGCGTCTGCCTTCGGCTGGGGTCATGATCTCAGGGTCCTGGGATCAAGCCCCACATTGGGCTCCCTGCTCGACGGGAAGCCTGCTTCTCCCTCTCCCACTCCCCCTGATTGTGCTCCCTCTCTCGCTGTGTCTCTATCAAATAAATAAATAAAATCTTTAAAAAAAAAATGAAAAAGAAATGTCACAGAGACCATCTGTAGCCCACAAAGCTTAAAATATTTACTACCTGATCTTTTACAGAAAAAGTTTGCCAGCCCTTGTTATCCACCACTGTATCCCTGGACCCTAGCTAGCATCGTGCCTAGCCTATAGCAGGCTTCATGAAATCAATAAATGAATGGATGAAGATCCCATGGGACATTCACTTAAACAAAAATGGTCAAAAAATCACCCACTAGTGATCAGCAAACAAGCTAGTCACAAGAAGAACAGGGCCTAGGGCCCTGCCTCCACATTACCTACTTGCAAAAGGGAGGCTGATGAGCTCCATACACTTCTTGCACATAATAGACCCGCAGAGGCGGCAGTGGTGGCGGCGGTTACGGATGCTGAACTTATTCCCACAGTCTGGACAGAAAGGGACATCTTGGTCGTTGACCCAAGGCACCACGGACTTTTCTATTGCTTTGGGAAGAACAAAACAAAAATCAAACAAACAGAAAAGCTAGCCATTTTATTTTATTTTTAAGATTTTATTTATTTATTTATTTGACAGAGAGAGAGACAGAGCGAGAGAGGGAACACAAGCAGGGGGAGTGGGAGAGGGAGAAACAGGCTTCCCGAGGAGCAGGGAGCCCGACGCGGGGCTCGATCCCAGGACCCTGGGATCATGGCCTGAGCCAAAGGAAGACACTTTACGACTGAGCCACCCAGGCGCCCCAAAGCTAGTCATTTTAAAAAGAGGTTTGGTCAGGGAAAAAGATAAATAGAATGAATGTGAGCAAAATTCTAGAGTTACCTCGTATCTTAGCAGATTCGGTATTTGTTCTGTCAAATGCAGTGAGCTGACAAGGAGAAAACAGTGCCAAATGGAATTAAACAGGTGATGTACACACTTTCCACAGGCAAGAGGCATCAAGCAGGAATTCACACATCCATTTCTCAAGTCTCATCTGTCATCCCCAACCCCACAAAGTCACAAATGCAACTTCACATTAGACAGAGTATTAGCTTTGCATCTAGAAGGCAGCTCCCTTCCCCATGACCTGATTCCAATCTCTTGTCAGTTCTCCATTTACGCAATAACCAGGGGTAGGCAAGGATGTGGTGGATGTGGCTACTGAAAGCAATGAGGAATTCCTGATTCTCCACGGTCCTCCTGGACAATGAACCTGGGCACATATTTCTGCCCTACAAAGTACACATCAAGAACTATAACTGCGGTTGCTACCATGCCCACCATAAAATTCAGGTTATACACAACAAGCATTTCTAGGGTCAAAGCAGAACAGCCTGATTGTGGGTGGAAGACACACTCTGGTACCACAGGACAAGAAGGCCCAGTCCAGATGTTCCCACACTGAACGCTGGCCCTGGATGAGTACTCCTCACAGACCTTGTCCCCAGCTTCTGTTTGTTATCGAGTATCACACACTATGTCCCACTGCATGACTGTATTTTGGGCACCCAAAAGAGGAAATAATTTGAAGGTAGAAAGGTTTTCCAGCAGCCAAGTGGCTTCAGAGGAAGGAAAAGGAAAGCTGGATATGAGGCACGTCTGTCAACCTGGGCCATCTCCTACAGTAAAACCAGCCTAGGCTAGAACTATTTACCACGTCCTCTGTGCCTCTCTAGGTGAGCTCGAGGTGGGGCGTTTCTCTGCCAGCATCCAATATATACAATATACCTGATACACACTGCAGAAATGTAATTTTTTTCTCCCAGAAAATTTATACTTGCAGAAAAGAAAATGTTTTAAAACAACAAAATTTACCTTCTCTAACCTGATTATTAATTTATTGACTTCAACAACATAGTGGTCAATTCTGGCAGCTCGGTGTTTTTTGAAGTCAGAAAGATGGCTTCTCACAGCGCCTAGGACAGGAAATGGGGAGATGAGTGACATGTTGTTTCTCCGAGAGAGCCCCTCTCCCTCGCGGCTTATCTTCAATTAATTTTATTTTTTTTTTAAAGATGACCTTGTATTGTTTTAAGATTGTATTTATTTATTTATTTGAGAAAGAGACGGAGCACGAGTGTGGGGGAGGAACAGAAGGAGAGGGAGAGAGAATCCCAAGCAGACTCTGCGCTGAGCACAAGCCCAACACAGGGCTCGATCCCAGGACCCTGAGATCATCACCTGAGCCGAAAACAAGAGTTGGACGCTTGACCGAATGAGCCACCCAGGTGCCCCATCTTCAATGAATTTTATTTATTTTTATTTTTAAGATTTCATTTATTTGACAGAGAGAGACAGAGTTGGTGAGAGAGAGCACAAGTAGGGAGGAGAGGAAGAAGCAGGCTCCACGCCAAGCAGGAAGCCCGACATGGGGCTTGATCCCAGGACCCCAAAATCACGACTCGATCCGAAGAGAGACACCCAACCAACTGAGCCACCCAGGCGCCCCTTCAATGAATTTTATTTTATTTTTTTTAAGATTTTATTTATTTATTCATGAGAGACAGAGAAAGAGAGAGAGGCAGAAAGAGAGAAAGGCAGAGGGAGAAGCAGGCTCCCAAGGAGCAGGGAGCCCAGCCCGATGCGGGACTTGATCCCAGGACTCTGGGATCATGACCTGAGCCGAAGGCAGATGCTTAACCATCTGAGCCACCCAGGCATTCCTATAGTGTTCTTTTTAAAGCCATTTTCTCCTACCATGATGAAAATGTTTCCACTCTCCAATATGGTAGCCACTAGCCACAGGTGTAGACTGAGCACTTGAAATATGGCTAGTGTATGACTGAGGAAATTACTTTTAATTTTATTTAATTTTAACTTATTTAAATTTATAAATAGCCACATATAGTTAGTGGCTATCCTATCAGACAGTGCAGTTCTAAGATTTTCCTCATTCAAAAAGACACATTCCATTGTGGCCCTATATGAAGAATATGGTAGATGACTCTGGGTAAGTATCAATTCCCTCCTTAGAGCCTGTTTCCTCATCTGTAAATGGGAATAAGCATCATGACCCATTCCACCTCATGAAGCTTTTGTGAAAGATGAAAAAGATAATGAATATGAAAGTATAATAAAGCCTTAGGAGGAAATCATTATTTATCCATTGTATGGACAGAAAATATATTAAGTTTTGTTATCATACAACAGTTAAAGGACATGTAAAATTAGCTAGTTCAAGATCATGTGGCATTTTTGGTAACAGCTCTGTTGAGATGTTCATAGACATACAATCCACCATTTAAAGCATACAAATTCCATGGTTTTTAGCATATTCAGAGTTGTACAACCATCACCAAAATAAATCTTAGAACATTTTCATCACCCCACAAAGATGTTTTTTTTTTTTTAAAAAAAGATTTTATTGATTTATTTGAGGGGGGGAAGCACAGAGGGAGAGTGAGAGGGAGAAGCAGACTCCCTGCTGAGCAGAGAGCCCAACGTGGTACTCGATCCCAGGACCCTGAGATCATGACCTGAGCCGAGGGCAGATGCTTAACCGACTGAGCCACCCAGGCACCCCAAGATGATTATTTTGAAAGTCAGTAGATGGTACCATAATTATGTGTTTCAGAAAATTCAGTTGCACAGGGCGCCTGGGTGGCTCAGTTGGTTAAGCGACTGCCTTCAGCTCAGGTCATGATCTTGGGAGTCCCGGGATTGAGTCCCGTGTCGGGCTCCCTGCTCAGCGGGGGGTCTGCTTCTCCCTCTGACCCTCTTCCCTCTCATGCTCTCTGTCTCTCATTCTCTCTCTCTCAAATAAATAAAATCTTAAAAAAAAAAAATTCAGTTGCACAAATAAGTCAATGAGTTCCTCCTGCTAGGCAGGTAACATCCTACATGAGAAGAGACAGCCCAGTCAATGGAGTCTCTGCCCGGGCTGATGTCAAACACCTGGATTCCTACCTCAAGTCTATAGTTTTTTAGCTGTTTGACTCTGGGCAGGTCCCCATCCAGGGCAGTGAGGATTACATGAGTACACATGTAAAGCATTTAATGCAGTGCCTAACACAAAGCAGATGCTCAGTTCATTCTGATCCATTTTTGCTCCACTCTGGAACATAAGGTCCATTAGAAGCTTAGACCATTCTGGTTTACTGATGCCTCCTCAGCTGACTTTTTCCTTTTTAAAGGTTTATTTATTTATTTTAGAGAGACAGAGTGAGAGTGCGATTGGGGGGAGGGCCAGAGGGAGAGGATCTTCAAGCAAACTCCTGGTGAGCACAGAGCCTGGACACAGAGCCTGTGTGAGATCATGACCTGAGCCGAAACCAAGAGTTGGACACTTAACTGACTAAGCCATCCAGGTGCCCCACCCCTACTTTTTTTTCTCAGCTAACTCTTAAAACATCACCAAGTACATATAGATGTTCAAACATTTGCTGAATGAATGAACAGAACTTCTTACCTAGTTCCTGGGGTTCCCACATGTAAGGGTCGACCCCTCCATAACTGAAAGACTCATATCCTTGTGTTCCTGATTCTGCTCGGTCATCTCCTTCTCGTTTCAACAGCCTATTCTTGGCTTTCTTAGCCTTCTGGACAAGACCTTGAAAAATGAAACAAACACCATAAATCGATCCATAAACATCTAGTAAAAAGTCAAAGGAAATCTCAAAACACAAGAGCTGATAAAATGACTATGCTTTATTTAAAAAATTTTGGATCCCAAGTAAATTGTAATAATGAATCCACAACCACTGTATTACAAATACCACAGAGCATTCATTCACTAGTCAGTATTAGCAGTAAGTTGGTTTATGTAACCAATATACAGCTAAATTACTATTCATGGCCAAATTTAAGAGCCCAATTAAAGTATAAAATCAAATTCAATGAGAGGACCAAGGCAATGGAAATGTTTTTTTCTAGACCTTAACTGGGGAGGTGGTTACATGGGAATATACATTTTTCAAAACTCACTAAATTGTACACATAAAAACTTATGTGTAAACCATATCTTAATTAAAATAAAGTTTTTTAAAACTTAAATTCTACAGGGGCGCCTGGGTGGCTCAGTCATTGAGCGTCTGTCTGCCTTCGGCTCAGGTCATGATCCCAGGGTCCTGGGATCAAGCCCTGCATCGGGCTCCCTGCTCAGCAGGAGGCCTGATTCTCCCTCTCCCACTCCCCCTGCTTGTGTTCCCTCTCTCGCTATGTCTATCTCTGTCAAATAAATAAATAAAATATTTTTAAAAAAATTAAATTCTACAGTATTAATTTATTTACTCTATGGACTCATGAGTAAACACTTCTTGTTTACTTCCAGGATGGGATTCAATGAAACCAACGTCCCTGGGATAGTGTTCCCCATAATGCTTAGCTGTACAGAGAGTTCTTCCCCTACTCACTTACTAAATGGATGTGTGAGGATATTAACAAAAAGCTTCAAGAAACAGGTATAACACCTACAACATAACACAGAGGGAACCAGACTTGGTAAGAAGAGAAAATGAATGCTTCCTGGATTGATTCTTTGCATGTACCAGGCACAAAACAAAGTGCTTTAAAAAAATCAGGAAAATGAATGCTCACAATATTATGAAGCAGGTGGTATCCATACTTATAAATGAGGACATGACATAAAAAGAGGGGAAAAACTTGCCGCACCCCAGATCACAGAGCTTATAGGGCAACAGGGCTGCAAGTGGACACCTCATCTGTTTGAAACTGAGAACCCCAGTTCTTCCAAGCCAGCGTGATTCAAAAACTAAGCATCTGAAGAACAGGGCTTTTGCCCCTTGTACTGTGGAGAGAGGACTTGCTGTTTGTTAAAAAGGAACAGCAGTCAACTTGTGTGGGAAAAAATTCTTGATCCTATGTTGCTCTCATCAAGGTTCTCAAATTTTGGGTAATTATCCCTTTCTGCCCCTAGAATCTAGTAGAAAACATGAGATTTATTTTTATTTTTTTTAAAGATTTCATTTATTTGACAGAGAGCAAGCACAAGCAGGGGGAGCAACAGAGGGAGAGGGAGAAGCAGACTCCCCACTGAGCAGGGAACCCGATGCAGGACTCAATCCCAGGACCCTGAGATCATCACCTGAGCTGAAAGCAGACGCTTAATGACTGAGGCACCCAGGCGCCCCAAAAATATCAGATTTAATACAAAATACAATTCTTCTAGATTTACTAGATCAATACTTCATGGAGTTCCCGCAATTTTTAAATGCCCTGTCACCTGAATAACATTAAAAACACTACCATAGCTTTACAAAAACCTACGGAAATGCAGATATAGAGGGGCTGGCAGGCAGAGGGGGAACTGTTACATTCATAGATATGTCTCAGACAGTCAAGCTAGTGGTTACTCTGAGATGGCTTTCTCCCACTGGAAAAAATAAGGTCCACCAGAACTAAAGGACACCATCTAAAATGCATTCAAGTAATCTCTCTTAACAACATGGGAGAGAAAACTGCCTGATGTAAACAAAGGGTTAGCAAACAGGAAACTGGATTTGGCATTCACTAATTCATTTTTGCAAACAAGACTAAACTGTGTCAGGTTAAACAGGCAGTCCATGCCATTTAACCACTTTAGGAGGACAGAACACTCTAGCAACCTTCCCAGGTGTAGCACTTCAAGAGGGGGTCAATTAAGAACAATCCCATATGTTTTTAAAACCACAAAGCAGAAAAAAAAGTAATAACAACAACAACAAAACCACAAAGCAAAAGCCACGGTTAATTTTCAACCACCCTTTCTTAATTAACACTTACTGTACAAGTGCTAAACTGAAGCTGAACCAGGGCTGGGGCCCAAACTCACTGATCAACTTCTACTAATGACAAATTTATATTTTCTTTCTTTTTTTTTTTTTTTAAGATTTTGTTTATTTATTTGAGAGAGAGAGAGAGAAAGCACATGGGGGGGAGGACGGTCCGAGGGAGAAGCAGACTCCCTGGCGAGCAGGGAGCCTGATGCGGGACTCGATCCAGGGACTCCAGGATCATGACCTGAGCCGAAGGCAGTCGCTTAACCAACTGAGCCACCCAGGCGCCCCTATATTTTCTTTCTTAAACTGCCTCCAAAACCTTATACCAAGGTTTGCTCTTTTGGTTTTAACATTTCACTTGACAAAACCAGCAATGTCATAAAATTTCTAAGAATCAGAAGACCAAATGAAGACATGACCTGCTTTTTGAATGACTTTTCAAAAATCTTTAATGTCAATCTTAAAAACTTTCCTGATTCTAAATCACAGAAAACTCCCACACAAGCAAGACTTCCTTCCTGACTAAACAAATGATCATTAGACTAAAGGAATGCTTAACTCAGTTTCTTAGTTCTTTCTTAGTTCTTAATTCTTTCTAGAAAAACAGAGGGAAAAACACAAGAGAATTCTTTCAAGTTTTTTTCACAACTCATAAAATTTCTACTCTATTATTAAGTGGATTCCCACATCTATTAGTCCCTAAGTAACCTTAAACATTTTTCCTCTAATAAATAGGTCACCACAGGAAGCTGAAGACATTGTCTAACCCCTGTACCCACTAGCATCAAAGTCTTAGTGACATCACAGTATATGACTCAGTTCAGCTGACACTCAGGCTGGACGCTCATTAAAAATCACGGCGGCCCTTCAACTGTCCAAGGAAACCTAGATGATCAGTTTGTTTGCATTCTAGCTGCAGGACAAACTGTGATTGGAACACAGGGTCTGGTATCATCAGTGATACCAAGTGGAAAGAGCAGCACTAGACTCAGAGGTGACAGAAGACCTGGGTCAAGGCCTAGTTCTGTCAATTCCTATGTGACCTTGGATAAGTCATTCAACATCTCTGAGCTTCACTTTTTCTCTGCAGAATGAAACCAACCACCTTCTTGCGGAGTTGCTATGAGAATCAAAAGAAATAATATTTCTGCGAGAACTCTGAAAACTATAAAATGCACAACATTTTTTGGGAGGCTTTCTAATAGTTATAGCTCTCCTCCAGCCTCATTTATCACAGCCCCCAGGATTTTGAAAATATTTGACTTTGTCATGTTTCTGGACAGAGGTTATAAATGTTAACAATTTCAACAATTTTTTCTGAACTGAAAAGTGAGACATGGAGTGGGACTATATGATTACAGGGGGCATGTGACTCACATGTGTGGAGGCCAAATTCCACTTAGAAATACACGATCCTCCCCTTCTCTCTCATCCAACACAGAATTGTGAATACACATCCAGACCTTCTTAACCTCACTGCCTTCAGAAATGCTTCCAGTTGGGAGAAGCAGGTGAAAGTGGGTTCCAGAGTAGTGGCATCATATTTAGGAGGACCAGAAATGAATCCTATGTATAGTTAAAATTGCTTTGAAAAAATCTTTCTGCAACTCTCTATGACCTGGGAAGCTCAAAAACCATGTTTAACTTTTTGGGTTGTTTCTCCTTGCTTTTCAACTATGATCTTCCTTTTTCTGGGCTGTAGAGGACAAGGGATAAGTAAACAAGGAAGAATGGCAGAAGGCTTGAATTTGTGACAGGGAAATGGGTGTACAATGTGCCTCCACTTTCAGAGCAAAAGGAAAGGAGTTCCACTCCAAATTCTTATAGGCTGGCAATTAGATAATTCAGTGTAGCAAGAGACAGCAAAGCATAAGACTTACATTTACTAAGTTCAAAGCCAGGCCCTGCCTCACTGTGTGATTTCAGGCAACTTATCTAATTTCTCTGTGACCAGTACCCTCATGAGTAAAGTGGGTCTCACAGTCCAATAGTTATTGTGAGAATTAAATGAAGTTCATTCATGGGAAGACTTTGAACAATGCCTGGCACATGGTAAGCATAAGATACATGTTCATATACGTACACTGCTATTATTATTAATTTTCTATTGTTTATCATGTTCTGGTGGCATCACGGAAGTTAATGAAACCATCCCATGAGTTAACGCTCCCACTGACAGAATAGGATAAGCAAAAAATTCTCGCCTCTTACTTTTAATTTGCCCTTTGACATCACGGTCTTCCCCAGAGTGCTCTTCCTCATAATGTGACTGAAGCTGATAGAAAGACTGCAGGTTCTTCAGGCACAAAGGGCAAAGGAAGCCCTCCCTCACTTCCCCAGGGTCATCCAGAGAAGCCATAGCAGTGTCCCTCTCAACCCCTGCAAGGCAGGGTCCTCATGCCAACAGTCAGCTTGATTCCTCCACAAGGGACCAGGGCTCTCACAGCATTAGCTTAACCAAGCAGCACACAGATGACGGAGAAGTGGTATCATGGCCCTGGATGAGGTTTCCTCTTTGGAGTAGGAAAAGCTTTGAAACAGGAAAGAGCGGGGAGGGGAGGGGGAAGAAAAAAAGCCCATTCAGGCAAATTAGCGGCAATTGAGAGTTTTCTTGTTCTTTTCACAGTTCAACAAGATTTCTTAATGTTTGTTCAGTACAAGTTTGAAAACACAAAACTGCTTTCTCAAATCCTTACACCAAAACACAAAACCTTTAAAGATTTGAGAACCTCACTGGACAATGGCAACTCAATGAAGTAGGGAGCACAGATTCCTGAAGATAAGAAAATTCAACTTTAAAAGCAAACAATACCAAGGTAGTTCTCTAACATTCACTCCAACTGGTCCAACTTCATAATTTGTATGCCATTTTAGCCACTGGGGAAATGTCTGAAGTACTTACCAACATACAGAAATTTTTGACTCTTCACCTTGGTCATTTAGTCAACCACATATATTGAGCTCTTACACCTATGTCAAAAATGCAAATAGAAAAAGAAATAGTGTCTGCCCTAAAAAAAACAAACAAAAGTAAAATCAAAACCAACCACACAAAAATCCCAACCTTAGTCTAAGGAGGAGCATTAGAAACCCAGTGGTAAAAAGAAAAATCTACTTTGTGCTTTATATTTGTAGAGTACTTTCTCTACAATGAGTTTACTGGATTTTATAAGCCAATAAATGACAGTTGAACAGCAAGCCTAATGTTCTCACTGCTTCAAAAACAAAAGGATTTGGTGCTTAAACAATTCAGGGCTTAATAAGTTACATTTTCACTTTTATTGGGCCATGGCAAAGTCACTTCCAATGTCACCTCAGAAAAACTCCCAGTCATAGGGAGAATCCAGACAAAACCATTCTACAAAAGTGGAGAAATTTCTCTGCAAAATCCTGAGGTCACAAACCACAGGAAAGAGTAAGAGGAAATACATGACCCTCAGCTTTGGATGGAGCTGATGAGAGGGCCTGTGAGGAGGGACTGCCTGCTCCTCAAAACTGAAGGGTAGCTGTGACCCAGAAAATAAACAAATGAAACACCAGAACCCTGTTTTTTTTCCTCTAAGAAACCCCATGACTATATACACACAGATCTCAGTCCCTTTTCCAGTCACTGAAATAGTAGCTCCAGTTCCCACCGCAGCCAGTGGTTCATCAGATGCCCTGACTCTGAAAGCCCCCTTCCTTCCCATGCATTCACCCTAACAACCACAAATCAAACACACACACTACACACACACACACACACACACACACACACACATACCCCCTTCACATCTCAACCCAACCTTACTTCCTCAAGGAAATGCCCCTTATTGAGGCATTCTACCATGGGACAGCTCCTGCACTTCCTTCAGGGCACTTATATCAATTTATAATCACAAATACATAAAATAACTAAGTACATAAGACTCTAAGTTCTGTAAGGGCAGAGACCATGTGCGTTTTTCCCACCACCTTATCCCCATGAAGAAACTCAATAAAGCCTCAACAATGAATGAATGCGTGAACAAACTCTAAAATCACATAACCAAACACAACACAAACCAAAGAAATGTACTACAAACCACCAAGCCAGACCCCACAACCATAACATATGCAAGCCCCTCACATCCTACACCACGTTAAAAATAAACAAAAAACCTACATATCCTGAAATTATACACCCAGCATGAATGCTACCCGGCTACATGCCGCATACACTACACAGCCCACAGTCGCAGCACTCATCACCGCCTCGACCGCACACAACACCCGCCACATAATTCAACACGATTATGTATACGTCGCATAACCACACACAACATGAAAGACTCGACCCTATAGAGCAGGCATGACAACTTCACACATCGCACAGACGCCACACCAAACACTACAAACAACTCCACACAAACTGGGACCCAAACGCCCCAACCTCACACAACCAGGGAACCAAACACAAGCACTTGGGAGACAACCGCCCACCCACCCTCAGCCGCATAACCAAACACAACTATGCACGCCCCGCCTAACCACAAAACCAAACGGAGCCCAATCGTCGCAACCACACACAGGCGAAACGCGCGGCCCGAAAGCCACATCTCCCACCACACACGTCACACCCACCACAACCACACACATCCCACACCCGCAGGGCCCGCCCGTCTCTGTTCTTCAGGGAAGCCGTGCTCGCGCCCCTCAGGCCCTGCCCGGCCCTCTGTACCCGGTCGCGCTCCCCCTGGCACGCAGGCCCGTCGGGTCCTCCCGCCCGGGCTCTGGGCCTTTGCCGTCCCTCACTCAGCAGCAGCCGCCATCTCCATCGGAGGCTCGACGCTCGGCAGGCGCGCCTGCGCGGCACCGAAACCGGAAGACAGGCTGACAGACGCCTGTCGAGCGCCGAATCTCCGAGGGCGCGAAGGGGCCGAGGCGGGTTCCAACAGCGCAAGGCGGCCCGCGGCTTCTGCGCAGGCGCTGTAAGAACCAACGGGGTGGGACTCGGTAATCTTGCAAGGTTTTCCAGTCCCAGGTGCTTACGAGCAACGTGTTGAGGTCAGTCTCTAGCTCTCCTCTCCGTTGTAGAGGTGGGAAAACTAAAACCTGAGATTCTTTCGCTTTTGGCCAAGGTGTGCGATGGATGAGGGGGCGGAGGTGGGGAGATGTTTTAACACTTCTTCCCCGACTCCCAACTGCGGTTCTGAAAAAATTGGGGTCGATTTAAAGTTCCTGAGAGCTAGAGATAAAGGGAATATTCAGGAGACTTGGAGGATGTGGAAAGAGCCAGAATAGAACCACGTTAGACGTAGAGTATCCGTCCCGAGAGTATATAGCATGGTCAAATCTGTGGGAAACCTGTGGCATTTTCAAATGCAAATCAAAACCGCAATGAGCTATCACCTGACTCCTGTTAAGGGAATAGCTCTTATTGAAAAGACAAGAGGGGCTCCTGGGTGGCTCTGTCGTTAAGCGTCTGCCTTCCCTCAGGTCATGATCCCAGGGTCCTGGGATCGAGCCCCGCTTCGGGGCTCCCTGCTCTGCGGGAAGCCTGCTTCTCCCTCTCCCACTCCCCCTGCTTGTGTTCCCTCTCTCGCTGTCTCTCTCTCTCTCTCAAATAAATAAATAAAATCTTAAAAAAAAAAGAAAAGACAAGAAATGACATGTTGGTGAGTTCATGTTCCAGGAGTGTTACTTGACTCCTTTGCCTCCTGGTAGCACCATCTGTAAAATGGGACGCAAATAATAGTTTCTGGGGCGCCTGGGTGGAGGCTGTTGGTTAGGCGTCTGCCTTCGGCTTAGGTCATGATCCCGGGATCCTGGGATCGAGTCCCGCATCGGGCTCCGTGGGGAGCCTGCTTCTCCCTCTGCCTGCCGTTCCCCTTGCTTGTGTTCTCTCTCTCTGTCAAATAAATAAATAAAATATTTTTTAAAAGTAAATAATAGTTTCCACTTCGTGGGGTTATGAATATTGAGTGAGGTATGTGCATGTGGCAGTGAGTGTGTGTGTGTGTGTACGCCTTTAACACTAGCTTTGGCTCTGGATAAGAGCTCTGCTTCTGCGATTAGCACTGGGCCCCCAGCACCTTCCATTTAAGGACACAGGGCTCCCAGTAGGGAGAGCATTGAGTGGAAGGCAGTGCCCAGTGAAAAGGCAGGGAGCTAGGGGTCCAGAGGCCTGGGTTCTAGCCCTGGCCACACCTTACTTTGTGACTTTGAACAGTTCCCTTCCCTCTCTTGGCCTCAGTTTCTTCACCTGTACAGATAAAATTAGTTCCAAAGACTTGCAAGCTCTGCTACTTTTTTCAACCTGATGACCAATTTTTGAACTTTACAGGGTTGGCAGGAATGGACAGTGGCTTCCCTTTGTGCATTGGCACAGACAGGGAAGAGACCTTGCCAACCTCTCAGAAGTAAAACAGGAGACCAAGCTCTGCGTCTCTGTCGCTGGCCTCTGTCTTAGGTCCTGGTAGCCAGGCCTTGGTGAGTGAAAACACCCCAAGGTGTGGGGTGTAAGTGTCTGGGACCAGATAAGTTCCAGGACAGGTCACTCTTACAGGCAAGACTATGTTTGGGGTCAGGTGATGGATCTCTTATTAAACCATTATGATTTTGCCTCTTGTTCTACCATTTACAAAAGCCAGTGTCACGTTCACCATTTCACTTGCTCAGAAAAGCAGTGGCAATGTGGCCTGCAGCTAGCTTGTGAATTAATTCTGCAAATCATGATGGATCAGCCACTGCTGTTCTATTGCTATTTTTTAAAATATTTTATTTATTTATTTATTTGACACAGAGAGAGAGAGAGATAGCGAGAGCAGGAACACAAGCAGGGGGAGTGGGAGAGGAAGAAGCAGGCTTCCCGCTGAGCAGGGAGGCCGATATGGGACTCTATCCCAGGACCCTGGGATCATGACCTGAGCCAAAGGCAGACGCTTAACGACTGAGCCACCCAGGCGCCCTCTATTGCTATTTTTAAGGGTGAGAATGGTAATGCTTTACACTTTTATCAAAACCATTTTCATTATTGAAATCCTTTGGGTAAGGGTACCTGGGTGGCTCAGTTGGTTAAGTGTTTGCCTTCAGCTTAGGTCATGATCCCGGGGTCCTGGGATTGAGACCCGCATCGGGCTCCCTGTTCCGTGGGGAGCCTGCTTCTCCCTCTCCCTCTGCCTGCCTCTCCCCCTGCTTGTGTGCGCTGTCTCTGACAAATAAATAAATCTTTTTAAAATATAAAATAAAGTGAGGAATCTGAGGCACAGAGAGATTAGGTGACAACCTCCACTTTTTCTTCCTCTGCAAAGGCCTGGTCTCTGAGACTTCCTGCATCTCTCAGCATGTTCCAGGCACCAACCACAGACCAGGCATAGAGATAGAGGATGTGAGGAGAATAAGGCAGGATGGTCTCTCAGTCTGGGAGGAGGCCGTAGCTGGCAGAGGATACAAACACTCATACAGCAGTTAGTTTAAAAATATACACATATATACACACATATATATGTGTAGAGAGAGAGAGGGAAAGAGAAGTGTGCACATGTGTTCAGATGCTCTGGCATCAAAGGGGAGGCTGATGAAATACCCCATGGGAATTCAGGGAATTCAGGGAGGGCTCCCAGAGGCAGCAACATGTAAGCAGAGCCCCCAGGGAAAGATGATCATGAAAAGCCTTCCAGGCTAGGGGGACAGCGTATGCAAAGGCATGATCATGGGAAAGAACATGTGTCCTTTGAGCAACTTAGAAAAGTTCATTCGCGCTTAGAGTGTTCTTCCCAGCACCATAGGGGGCTGCTTCTAAGGGTGGAATCTGGAGCTCTTCACCTTTGCCTTCCACCTTAGTGGAAGTCTACCCACACAAGTCGTCTTGGCATCCCATTGAAACCCCTGAGCAGGAAAAGGAAATCATGATGCCATAAGCGTACGTCAGGGGAAAGTGGGCAGCACGTCACGCAGCTCCCCAAAGATCTGGCTTTCCTCCAGGCTGGCCCGGGCCCCAGTTCCGCGGGCCTCTGCCAACTGCCACTGCGGGGGTGAGCAGGCAGGGGGAAGGCGTACAGGCGGGCACGCCCCGTCCGCCGGCACAGGGAGACGGGGTAAGAACTGGCAGGGCCGTGGGAGGCAGGGCCTGGTCTGCAGAACTGGCGGAGGGTGTGCCGGCTTGGGCAGTATCCATGGGAACTCGGTGGCACCTGCTCAGGGTCAGTAAGGGGACGGGGTGGAAGCAGAGAATGGAGGAACAAAAAGAGGGCACAAGGGATGGAAGGGGAAGGAAGGAAGGGAAGCAAGTAGGGAAAGGGGAGAAAAGAAGGAGAAGAAAAAAGTTAAGTGGTAGCCAAGCAACGTGGTTATAAGCACAGACTCCAGGTTTTAATCTCTGCCCCCATAGCTACGTGATCCCAGGCAGGCCACTTAAATTCTCTGAGCTCTAGTTTCCTCATCAGTGAACTGGGATAATAGTATCTCGCTCCTAGGTTGGAGGATTAAATCGGTTACTATTTGGAAAGTGCTAGAACAGTGCCTGGGACATAGGAAGGACCATGGAAATGTTTGTTAAATAAAGAAAAAGAAGGGGAGCTGTCATTCAAATGCCTTGGCAGTTGTGTCAAGCTGAGTCAGGCAGTGCCATAGGAGGTGTGAGGATCCAGTCTGGTGTCATGGAAACATCTCTGAGAGTCACGGCCCTGCCAGATGAGAATGCAAAAGAGAATCAAGTAGTCACTACATTCATGTATCCAAGGGAAGTGGAGGGTGGGCAGTGGCACCCTCACAGACCTGAAAAGTAAGGTCCATGTGGATCTCTTGGCTTGAGGGCACATGAGATGCAAGGCCACCCAGTCTACATAGGTTGAGCACGGGCATCTCCTTTGACAAAGTAGGGCCACCACCAGCCGTAGAGGCCTTTGGTAAATGGGAGAGAGGCCCCCCCTTCAACAAATGTGCCCTGTGCCTGCACTCATGCCCTGCACTTGGTGAGTGGGGCAGGGACTAGATGTCTGCTCCCACCCAATCCCTCTACTGTGCTGCCCACAACCCACACAGGAGTCCCGGGCCTAGGGATGAGGGGGAAGCCTCAGCATGGTCCCCCGGTCAAGAGAAAAATCACACTGCTTATCTGCAGCTTCAAATCTCATTCTTCTGACCTCAATCTCCAGAGATCTGTATGCTTGGCCGGTTGAGAAGTTATCCCAATTCTAACCAAGATTTGAAATGATCCATGTGTATATGGTATTTTAAGTATTTGGGGGCATTTATGAGAGCCTGGCGTGTAGAACATCTAACACATTAGACTGGTGACTACAGTTTAAAATGTGTAACTCAGCAGTTGGCTTGCACTTGCAATTTTAAATTCATTCAACAAACTCTCTATTAAGCACCTGCCTACATGGAAGCCTGAGATAAACCAAATGGACAGTAACTCATAGACACTACACAACAGATATACTAAATAATTGCACTATATAGTATGTTAGAAAGTTATAAGTGCTATAGAAAAAAGAAAGCATTGAGTAGAGAGGGTGGTGAGTGCCAGGTGGGAGTATTTAATAGGGTGAT